TCTTCTGATGGTCCTGGAGTTCCCAGCTCTCGCTTTCTCTCTCTTTTTTTCGGGATGAAGCTGCAGCAGGGCTTAAGCTTAAGTTGGGGTCAGGGCCGGCCAAGCCCAGCTGGGCAAGGCCAGGGCCGTACCGGTCAGGGCCAGTGCCGTACCAGTCAGGGCCAGTGCCAGAGAGAGAGCGAGGCATGCCCTGCACCACCCTTGAATCCATGAATTCACAGGGGCACTGATTGGCCTGGCCCTGGTCAAAGGTGGGTCTGGCAAAGGGAAAGGGGGAGCTTTTCAGGTAGCTTCTTAAAGGGCCATCTCCATTGCCCTTCTCCTGTTACCAAAGACACGACCAAAAACCCCTCACAGAAAACCCAATACAACACCCCATCCCACCACACAGCCCCATCTCCTCCTGCTTCCAGGGAACCCTGTTGAGCTTTGCTACAAGTAGCTCATCCACATTTTAGCATTAAATTCCCAAATGCAGGGTCTTCACAGCCAAAACCACCTGGAGGGAGGGGCTGAAGGTGATGGTGCGAGCCAGCAGTGAGAGATCGCAGCACCAAGGGTCTGTCTCATACCAGACCCTTGGGGTGACAGTCACTGTCTTCAAAGTCATCCCGTGGCTCCATCCAGCAGTCCTCCCCGAGCTCTTGGCCTCTCCCTCCATCACACTGGAGCTGTCTGCCCTCCTCATGGCAGGAGGAAGGCTGGATATAAAAAGCCCGTAGGCTAGCAAAACCAAGTTTGTTTCTTCTAGCTCCCAGCCAAGCCCTTCTGATAACCACAGCCTGAGGAGGGCTGTAATTTCTCGGGTTTATATATAGAGGTACCGAGGTTGTGCCAGAGATGGGGACTATATAAAGGGACCGCCCTGACCCGCTTCCCAGCCAGGCTGGTGGAGCAGGAGAGCTGTGGGGTGCCTCTCTTCGTGGCCATGGACACCTCCTACCCACGGGACGACGACCTGCCTGCACCGTCCCGCAAGTGGGAGCCATCTCCCACCACCCTCATCTCCCCACCACCCCGTGACCATCTCATCTGGTCCATTTTCAACACCCTCTACATGAACTTCTGCTGTCTTGGCTTTGTGGCGCTCGCCTTCTCTGTCAAGGTATGGGTACCAAGTGGGGTAGAGAGGGTCAAGGGACGGGAGAGTGGGGTTATCTGGGAGCCCTCCCCATGTTGTTGCTGTGGGATGGACTTCCCGAGGAGCAGGGAGCACCTGAAATGAGGCACTATCTGGAGGCACAGAGCATCCCCTTCCTGGGAGGTGGTGCCAGCTCCTGGTAAAGCCCCCACATTTTTCCCATCACCTGCTAACAAGGCTGTGAGACCCCCTCCTTTAGATAACCACAGCCTCACCACCACTGTCACCACCTGAGGAGCAACTGCTGCTCCCTAGAAGATGCTGGGGGGCTGCAGGGCCCCTGGCCCCTCCACCTGCCCTCTGGCAGGAGCAGCTCCAGCAGGACTGGACCAAGGTGGAGAGACAGGGGAAAGCGAGGGCTGAAGACAGCGAAGCTCTGAAAGAAGCAGGAGGGAAAAAAAACAGTGACAAAGACAGCAGAGCTGGGAGGAGCAGGAGCACACGGAGCCAGTGGGCAGCCTGGGATGAATGGATAGATGGAGGAAGGGATGGATGGCCACCCTGTGGGCTGGTGGGGAGCTGGCTAGCAGTGTGGCACTGCCTAGAGGGCTAAATTGCAGGCTGCAAGGGTGTCAAAGTCACATAACTAGGCTGGGAGAAAGCATGAGGAGGGAGCTGCAGGCAGACCAGGCGCTGCCCCAACTCTCGGCTGTTGCAGGCACGGGACCGGAAAGTGGCCGGGGACGTGGAAGCTGCTCGGCGCTTCAGCTCCAAGGCCAAGTGCTACAACGTCCTCGCCACAGCAGGGAGCACGGTGCTGCCGCTGCTGCTCGTCGCCCTGGTCATCACGGGCGTCCTCCACCTCTCCAAGCTGGCCCAGGAGTCCGTCGGCTTCTTCACCTACCAGTTCAGTGGCAGCGATGACGAGGACAAGTGACCGGTGGGCGAAAGGCTGCTAGAAACTCCTTTGTGTCACTGGTGGCCCCCCCCAAAAAAAGACTACTGGTCCAGCATAACCCAGCCACCACCTATTTCTGCCACCCAGGGCCATGGCCACAAGGTTTCATGACTGCCGGGTAGTATGTGGCAGGGGGAAGGCAGCCCCCCAAGCTTCTCCCTCACTGCAGCATCTCCCCTCACTCCCCCAACCTGGTACAGCACCCCCAGCCCTGCAGTGCCTGACCCCAGCTCCTGGCAATGCTTCTTGGGGCAGCTCAAGGATTTTTGTTTACCCTGTTGTTGTTTTTTTTTAACTCCCTTTATCCTGTGCAGAGCACAGCACCCCTCCAGCCTTGGTGATTGCTATTTAACTCATTAAACCATCCCGGATATTTCAAGTCGTCTGCGTGCATGTGTGTTGTGCAGGGTGAGTGGTGCCAAAGGGACAATATAAATACAGCTTTTTCACTCTGATTGCACCCTTTGCAGCCAGGAGAAGGAATAATCTCCATGACCCTTAGAGATACCCAGCCTAAACCAACCCTTTTATTTAAAATTGTTTTTGGGGTGGTGGGGGTGGGACACAGACACCCCTTTTAGTGCCACCTGAGGCCTTTGATCCCCAGCCTCATTAAAATCCAAATCCAGATGCAGCTCACAGGGCTGTTATGAGGGGCAAGGGGATGGAGAGGCCTGCGTGTCCTGCTCTGCTGCTAATTAGGGGCCTGACAGAGAGCCACCATAATTATAAGGCGGGGGAGTCATGTCAACTCCTTCCCTAAGCGTTTCCATGTGGCTGCAGGGCTTTTTATAAACTCCAGGGGATTCAGCCAAGATTCCTGGGGTTTGTTCAGACAGGGCAGACCCCAGGGAGAGGCAGGAAACGCCTTCAACACCCCCTCGCTTTGACCCACATCTGCTCTAGCAAAGGTGTGGGGCTGGGACATAAAGCACCAAACCCCACCCCCGGGAAGGAAGATGCAGGAGGGGAGGATGCTGCAAGGTGCAGGGCAAGGGGATCGGGGGGTACCATGCCCCCCATTTTCACCCATACACAGGCACCAAAAAATGCCTTTAGCAAATACACGGCAGGACTTTGCTCACCCTGAGGCAGCTCAACTGGAGGAGGACTCTGCTCAGACTGCAGAAAAACACCACACTTGTCATCTGACATAATATTAACGGTAACTGATGCCTGGGCTTCCTATATCCCTTAAAACATCAAGTTAGAAGGGCTTTAACTCCAAAACTGCTTGGAAAGAGATATGATGGTGTAGATAACAGCTTCAAAACACGATTGGGACTTTATACGTCAAATAATGGAAAAGAAAAGCAGCTGTGTGCCGCCCAAACAGCGCTAAAATGCTTCTGGCTGTGTATTTTGTGACTAATATTAGTGCCAAAATAACGCTCAGCTCCAGCCTTGCTTCCACTCGCCCTGCCGTGCCACCCATGCTGTGCTTTGCAGTTTCAGTCAGCAGGATTTGGGGGGTCCTGGCCATACTGAAACCCCCACGGCAGCTGTGTGCTGCAGCCAGGGGTTCCTCCTCTTTCTGCTCGCAGGCAGCCTCCACAGCCCTTTGAGCACCCCAGGAGAAAGCGAGGACCAAGCCAGGACGCGTCAGAGAAGCTGGGAGGTGGCGCACATACGGTTTGGGCCAAACACAGATGTGTTCAACTGTGTTGACATCCCTGTAAATGCAGATGTTTAAAGCATAAACAAGTCGCTGACGTTCTGAAAACTGATTTTAAATGGTCGCTTTCAGGCTTGGTTTTGTCTCCTTTGTTCAGTGAGAGATGTGAAAGGCAAATGAAGGGGAGTCAAGGGACTCGATGGCCCCCGGCAGAGACAGCGCAGGGAGCTGCTGCCATCCCAGCCATGGTAAGAGCTCCGAGCCCACCCCTCCTGGGGCCACAAAGACACACAGCACACATGGTCCCATAGGGGCAAAGGGTTTATGGCATGGTCTGGGAACCCATCTCCCATCCCACCCACCTTTGCCTTCCCCCTCCACCAACAACCTCTCAACTCATTTCTGCTGCCTCAAGGGGCACAATCTGGATCAGCCAAGGTTTGGAATGGATGAACTCTGAATCCAGCCAGCTCCCA